AAGAAACACTCTATCATCGACATAGTACCTTTGAACTCAAGACTATTGAAGACACCATCATATTAATATATGGTAAATAGTAACTGATACTATTGAATAGTGTTATTAAAAATAAAATATCTATCTCATCTTATTGCATTTTTATTCATTTCTCTAAACCAGAGATGCTACCTATTCAGTAAAAAATAAATGAAGTAAAAAATAATGCAACATGTTTGTAGAAGCAGCTTAGGGTCCCTACATGTATTTGATTCTATAGGAAACTATAACAAGTTTTTCAGATGATAATTAAACCAAAACAATGATAACTAAACCATTTTTACGCGATACTGGTTGGAAGTCTCAATGTCTACCTGTTTTTCAATATCTTGGCCATAATACCAATACAATAGTCTTTTACACATATGTACTCTCCGTGTATATTTTGATTTATCAACTCTAGAATGAAGATGATTGTCAACATATATTTTACACTATGATCAAATAATGAGATGCTTAACACATCTCTCTCTATAAAATCACAAAGATGTACACATCTTATATCAATAACCTTATCTCTCAATTCAAGAATTGTCTTTGATAGAAAATGACACTCACCTATAGCAATTTTTTAGGTATCACAAAAGAAAATGTGACAACCCTAAAGGCACTACTAAATCAAGAAAAAGTCCAAGTCCATTGGTCTATCCTCTCTTTTCCCCTCTCTTCCCTCCCAACTATTGTCTGAATCTCAGTTGAATGACTGATAGAAACTCATTATACAGGTAAACTATCTAAGATTTGATTATTAATTATGCTTTCTGTATTTTATCGTGCAAGAAAAAAAAATTCTAAAAATTCGCGATCTAATCCCATTTTAAAGAATCGTCTAATATTTGGCACTTAACCAAAGTTGATTTACACTATAAAGTGGTGTATTAGCTATATCTAATCTTGATAAGACATATCTACTATATTTATTATATATGGTATACTTAGTGTGTATGTGTTTATCATGACTATATCAATGCTTCAGATTGCTTGTTTTTTTTTTGTTTGACGCTTACAACTCTGTATATTATAAACAAATTTACAGAATACATGCGTTTTTTACAAGAAAAATCCCAATATGTCACTTTGTTTCCATCTTTAGATAAATAGTTTGTAGATTTATAGATAAAAGTAAATAAACAAGCTTAATCTATCAACCAAACTATCAGTATTTGGTATCGATGTGGAATTTACAATATAGCTCAATTGTTTAAAACATGATAAAACCTGTAGATAAGAATACTTTGATTCTAGGCCTATGTCTATTATCTAAATTAGCCATTGACTTCTGTTGCTTTAATAGTTTATTTTTTAACATTATAATTGAAACTTTAACATCAACCAATTTATTGAGTAAACTTCAAAGTAGTTTGATTTTTGGGTGTAATTTGCTATTCGTGCATTGGGCATGTTAGCTACCCTATGAGATTGTCTGAAAAATAAAGATAAACATATAAACACTCTAAATACAAAAGTGAAAAAATAAATGCAGAAGAACAAGAGACAGAAGAACAAGAGAACATAAAATCTCGCATGAGGGGAAAAATGAGTGAAAATGAGAAATGATGGTAAAATGATAATTATGAATAGACAGCCAAAAAGGCCATAAAGTCAGCAAGGAGACTAAGACACCAAAGAGATACCCGTCATCCTATGGCAATTCGAAATCCAATGAGGGATACTTAGAGCAACTCGGACAATCCTGAGTATTTTATCCGAACTAAAGAATAAAGAGACTGTAAAATGACAGGACTTTATCCAAGAATAGACTGCTTTTATTTAGTAGAATATACAACTCTTTATATACTAATCAATTGCCATAGTTACACTTATGTGTCTCCTATAGTTGAATCTACACACATGACCCTAATTACTTAGTGTTAATGCAATTGACTGCTGCTACTTATGTTAGACATGTCTCTGTATTGACCCTGGATACATCACTGAGAATATATGTAGCAACTACACTAGCAGCTTCTGGCTTTGCTAAACAGGTTAAGAATGGGTGGTAGAGGAGAGATCGGAGAAGAAGTGAGGATACATTGTCTGTTGCTAAAAGAGTCTTTGTACTCTATGACAGCATTAGTGTTCCCGCTCAACACACCCATCAGCAGCCTCAATGAGCAAGCTACCACTATTTATTTTTTGTATAAGACACTTTTTATTAAGCGTCTTTTACGCAGTCATATGTTGCACTGAGAGGTTTGACTGGGAAAACATAATGGGGGTCAGTGGTGGTCTTGGGATTTTGGATCCCTATGTCCAACAATCTGCCCTTCAACTACGCTGGCTAATACCACTACTACTGTACCCTCCATTGCCTGCCCTGCCCATCTCGTTCCTTGCTCAAGAGATTCTTGCTGCCTGTACTGGCATACAAGATCATCGCCTTCCTTTTTTCTTTCATCTGCTGAGAACATACTCTATCAAAGAGTCTTTCTCTACTTTTACACTTCTGTTTCGTGCTTTCTCCCATCTTCCATCTATCACAGATGATGTTTTTCTCTCTCCCGCTACTCTCCTTACACTCCCCCTGCTATCGGTCTCCTTTCCTTATCCTCTTGATCCTCGAGTATACCGCCCAGGCCACACTAAACTACTAGTACGAGATGCCTATGAATTTAATCCCACGGTGGGCCATCTATGTCAGCGCAGTCTTCCTGCTAGATCTGTGGGCATTCGTCTCATCTCTTCTTATTTCCGTTCTGTTCTTTCCTTTCAGACAATATCTCACCATTATTTTGCTAGAGTGTGTCTTCCACCTTCTCATTCCTATGGAAACCATGATGGTATCCTTGGAGTAGTAGATGCAACCCCACTTGTTACAGCCTTATTTGCCTTACCAAAGCTTACTGGAATGACCAGAAGTACATACTGCCTTCTTTCTGCAAATACTGTACTCACACCAACTGTTCCTTGTATCTCTTCTGCTCTCTGGGTTGACTTTTGGAAATTTCCAATTAGTCATGTCAGCCATAATATTTGGTATTGGGCACTTCAATTTAAGCTTCCCATGCATCCTTACTTCACCATATTTCACCAACATTTCTCCCGTCTCCACAGTGTCAAGTCTGCTCTCAATCTACTGATACTATTGAGCATTTTCTAGTGGAGTGCCCAGCCAAGCGGCCCATGTGGTGTGCTCTCTATAATCATTTTTTCTCTTCCTGTCTGCCCAAGCAATCCAATGTTCTATCTCACATTTTTTCTCTTAAGCTCTCTCCCAACCCATTGGATATTAGAAGCTCTCAGATCATTGGCAGTGTGCTTGGTGAACTGTGGCATGCCCATTGGCAATTGATTTTTGATGACATTCCTTTCTCTTCCTCAGAGAAAAGGACGCTGTTGGCTAAGTGTATATATTTAATTCCTAGTTCTACATAGTTATTCTCCTTTTACCAGTTCCTTCATGGCATCACTGCTCAATGTGATATGTGTCTGTTGCTAAAGATTTAAATAAAATTAAATCCTTAAAAAAAACATAATGGACATGGCTTTCTCTGCTAACACTCAGGAACCACCTGCTACAGGCAAACAACACCCACCCAACACCCAATATGCACCTTGCACCTGGGCTTGAGTGGTATCAAACCAACATGAATCACTGGTTCATAATGATAAGCTCATTACAACCTCATCAACTGGACGTAAGGTCCTAAAGACTCTCATCTGGAGAAATGGTCATTCTCCTGGAAGTGTCATTTTTGATGTCTCAATCTGTTCAGAAACACAACTCCAGCTCTTGGAGCTTATTACCTCTCAGTACCCTCTTTGCCAGGGTACTATTTTTCCCAAAGAAGGACCCCAGCATCTGTGTGAGGTTAACTTCCACCCCGATCTCCAGGATGAGATCTCCCATGCATGTGAGGACAGATTGTTATTTGAAAAGGATAACACTCTCATTCTTGCTTCTCATGCAGAAGACCAATCCGCCAAGATCACCTTCCTGAACCTATCTTGTCTTCCATTCATGGACATCCCTGAGCTACTTCATGGCATGCATCAGAGTCTGTAGCCTTTTGGACACATTCTGGACATAGGCATGTGTCAAGAACCTAAGACTCTATCATACATAGGTACTGGGTATGCCATTTTGGACATTGATCCTCAACAAGGATGAGATTGTTTGGACAGGTGGATTAACAAGACTGAACAAAGATAATTTTTATTGAGTAAAGAAAGGTTCACTATTTATACTTTTGGTGGGTGTTTACCCTTCAGTGGCTTCTACCTTATGGTAGGATAATCTATTCTACCTTATGGTAGTTATGATAGTCAACCTTATGGCTGCTTCACAATTACAACTAAATGGTTGGTGGGGACATTCTACCTTATAGTAGAATTCACTCTCTTTGACCTTATAGTTGGTGTCTATATTACTACCTTATGGTAGTATTAATAACTGCCACCTTATGGTTGGCTCATATGTTTTACTTAGTTGTAGTATTATTAGATTCAACCCTATGGTTGGTTCCTGGGATAAGCACTCCATTATTGAAACTATTAATTATTATGAGTGTTTACTCAATTGACTCTGATAGGTCAATATTGTTCTGTTAGGATTATTAATGAAGATGGCTCTTGTTAAGTGTCCAATGGTACACTGAGCTTTAGAAGGTGATTTATAGTTATGACCAATCAGTGAGATGATACAGAGATGTACTATGCTACTTGTGTGCACTCAAGCTTTCATAGAGTATTCTGAATGTCACAGCACACTACTTGTGTTGACTTATTCATAGAGAATCTTTGGATTGAAGTCAGAACATGACATGCACTATAGAATTTAGTATAAATAATCAAGTGAATTCAATGAATAAAAGATTATCTTCTATCTTCTCTTTTATTCTTCTTCTTTGATCTACATGGGCTTCAGTCCAAACCAAGAACCACTAGCTATTCCACTCTGTGCACATACCTCCGGGCTTAGAACTATTCTGTACAAATTAGGGAACGACAAAAACATCTATGGTTTCGTGATGTAATGGTCAGCATTTGAGATTCTGATTCTCACTATCCGAGTTCAAATCTCGGCGAGACCTTTTTCTCTTTTAAAAAAATTTTTTTTTTATTTTGTTTCTCTTTAAAATTAAAAAAAAAGCTAAGACCTACAATTTGTCATAAACATGATGACATTAAGGTAGATATACTGCTAATGTTGTTTACATAAAGTTACTTTAATTTTCAGTTTATTTATTTATTATCATTGTGATTATTCAGACAAGTAGAAAATAAAGAGACTGAACAAAGATAATTTTTATTAAGTGAAGAGTGGTTCATTATTTATACTTTTTGTGGGTGCTTATCTTTCAGTGGCATTCTACCTTTTGGTAGTTAATGATTAGTCTATGGCATAGCTTATTGATAGATACAACCGTATGGTTGGTGTAGATGATCTATCCTATGGTAGTTTACATTGGTGTAGGTGTTCTACCTAATGGTAGACTACATGTTGGAGCCTTATAGTTGGTTCATTGAATAAGCACACCATTATAGAGCCATCTATTATGTGTCTTCACTTTAATTGCCTTTGATAGGTCTTATTTAATCCACTAAGGATTTATAGATGAAGGTAGCTCTTATTAAGTGCGTGATGGTACACTGAGCTTAGAAGGTTGATTTATAGTTACAACTCATTAGTGAGATTGATACAGAGATGTACTATGTTACTTGTGTGCACTCAAGCTTTCATAGAGTATTCTGAATGTCACAGTATACTAATCATGTTGACCAATTCATGGAGAATCTTTGGATTGAAGTCGGAACATGACACATGCCACGGACTAATCATTAACTACCAAAAGGTAGAATGCCACTGAAAGATAAGCACCCACAAAAAGTATAAATAATGAACCACTCTTCACTTAATAAAAATTATCTTTGTTCAGTCTCTTTATTTTCTACTTGTCTGAATAATCACAGCTTGAATGTAGATCCAGATACAAAAAGCATAGCCAAGTACAAACATCTGTTTCTACTACTATTACTACAGTGTCCAGTGTAAACTCTATAAAGTAATTTGTTTTCTGACCATTATTTTGTTCAAAAAAAGTTTTTTTTTACTTATTTCTTATTCCTTATTTTTCTGCTATAACATCTATTATGTCTAGTATTAACAAACAAGCCACTATGCCTATTAGAAACAGAAAGAAAAAAAATTGATGACTTTACTTGAGGAATAATTGCTATTTAAAACATGCAAAGTATTTTAAATGAATATATTATACATCTTATTAATACAGTTATTTTGCTTTTCAATCTAAAAATAGGCTAATAAAAATACCTATAAATTAGTGTATTGCTAGAATGTCTATTATATCACTAACTCTTTTGGTATATACTAACAGTTGATGGTATATTGATATATATTCCATTATATATGAAACATTATTATTGTATTATTAGATATAAAATTATGACATAAAATTCAACATTTATTTACATAATATTTTTAGAAAATATCACAGCATATAATCTAGGATAACCTGTATACCGTATATACTTGATAGTAATAATCCCTCCTTGTAAACTCATTATTCACGAGGCCACCCAACATGGTACCAGACAAACGGATATTACAGTCATATCTGGTGTCAGTCATTACGCTGTTAGCCTTATCATGAAGAGATATAGGAAAACTGACTGTCTCAAAGCAGGAAGGGGCTTTAGGCACGAGTCTATTCTGACGGAGAGGGACGAGAGAGATTTTTTATGTGAGATGAAAAGAGATTCATTTTAGACAATAGATCAACTTTGCAAGCAGATGGCCACCAAAGTGTGCATGAGCACTTTCAGAAAAATGATGAAAAAGCTTGGCCTGTCTTCTTGCAGGGTGGTTAAGAAACCTTCCTTCACCAATAAACACAAGAAGTTGAGGCTTGCTTCTGCCAAAGTCCACCTCCACTGGGCATAAGAAGAATGGAAGACAGTCATCTGGTCCAATGATTCCAAGTTTCAGCTCATCTCAAGCAACCACCGCAACAGGGTGGTGCACAGGAAGAAGGAAGGACTGCTCCCAAAGAATATGAAGCCGACGATAAAGTTTAGTGGTAGTGGGGTGATGGTGTGGGGTTCTTTTTTTCTGAAGGTGTTGGTAGACTTGTCATGGTGAAGGGATCCATCAATAGTGACAATTACATTAGTATTTTAGAAGAAACCTATTGCCCCAAGCTGGCTTGTCTTTCGGCACTAAATCCAGTGGCAGGCTATGATCTTCAAGAGGACAATGCCAGTTGCCATACTAGTAAGGAGACTAGGAAATGGATGGATGAGAGGAGGATTGCCACAATGGAGGGGTGGCCCTCTCAAAGCCCTGACCTGAACCCAATGGAGCATCTTTGGGACGAGCTTAACAGAGTAGTTCGAAAGAGGATGACCCCAGTAAGCACCCTCAAATATTTGAAGGCTTTCCTGGTCCAAAAATGGGACAGGATCCCCAAGGAGGTTACCAACAACCTCATTGCCAGCATGCATTGGAGATGTAGGGCTGTAATAGAAGCCAAGGGTGGAAGCACCAAATACGAAGGGTTTCCACCCAATAAACATGTATTTATTATTCTGTTGACCTTTTTTATACTTGATTTAATTTTTAAGTCTCTAATGTGTGTTTAATGTGTATTAATATTAAAAGAAATAAGTATTTTTCTATATAGTAATCATATTGGAAAATGAAAAAGATTATATGTCTTTTGCCAAACACTGTACAAGTCATAATGATTGCTCTTTCGTGTAATCAATATTACCCCAAAAGAGCAAAATATAAATCGCAAAACTCAACATAGGTAACATTTATCCATCAGCAACAATCCCCATCCACCCACATAGTACACACTACACATTGGATATACCAACTATGGATCCTGTTCAACCACCAACCATCAAGCAACCTCCTGTACCAGCACCTGTCAGACCCTCTGTGTCTGAGGCCACCACTGCCACCACCATTCTTAACTCAGACAGCAGAAAACCCAGACTACTTACCAAGCGCAATCGTGCAAAGACTTACGAGTATCAAATGACTGAGGTAGAAAAGCCTGATACCTTCACCCAGCAGATGATGGCATTTCTGTCAGATATTCAGAGACAAATGGCAACAATTGGACTCCGCATCCAGGAATTGGAAGCATAAGTCAAGGTCAAAGATAACCTTATTACATCTCTCCAGGCTCAGATCAATGCCAAGAGTGCAGATAATGCACCCAAATCACCTCCTGCCCCCATCCCCACAGTGAAATCCACAGCTGCCATAGAAAAGGATACTACTACTTATGCCAGCATGACTAAAAAGAACGCTTTTCCAACAAAGAAGACAGCAAAGGCCAGAGCAGTGCTTAGAGCACAAACAGCTCGGGCCTTACAAGAGCCTACTGGGCCCTCAGTATACGACTTTGTATGTGTCCCTTGTCGCCACTACCTCAAGTACGGCCAGATCCGCAAGATGTTGGGATCACTGAAGATCCAACAGTCACGGATCATAGACATCTACTTCCCAGCAAGGGACACAATTGCACTGCTTGTACATGGTAGCTTCAAGCAAGAACTCGAGGAGAAACTCGAGAAATCAAAGATCAAGCCATAGGCAAGCTTTGATACAGTAGCTGCAACGGTGATTTCAGACCCTAATCTCCAGCAGGAGTCAGATAGCACCAAGGCTGTAATGGCCCAAGAACTCTTTGAGCAAAGAGTGTCCAACACTTGTCTTCGTGCCCCCACTCATTTAGGGTACAGCATTGCTCACCACTTTGGCTCAAGTATTGCCACACCCAACAAGACTTGTAAATAGACCAATCTTTGGTCTATTGAAAGCTTGTGGGATTAGGCTCAAACTAATGTCTATGTCTGCATTGTTATTTTCTCTTATTTCTCATATTTCTCTTCATTTTTTCCCTCATTTCGAGGTTTTATCTACTCTTATCTTTCTGTTTCTTTTTTTCTTGCATTTCTTTTTTCCACTTTTGTATTTGAAGTGTTTATATGTATATCTTAATTGTTCAAAAGTTCTCATAGGGTGGCTAACATGCCCAATGTACGAATAGCAACCAACACCCAAAAATAAAATAAAATAAATACTTTGAACTTTACAATTCATAATGATGTGTAGATGAAAGTAGCTTAAAAGGGCAACATGTCGTTCTTATGATGGATGTAGATATTAATCCTAATAGTGACACCACCCAGTTGAATACAATGCATTGACCATCTTCCTCTATACAAGACATAAATCCAAGGCTATTCTTCATAAGACCTGTATTTTTCAGAGACATAGTGTTGGTATACAACTTCATTCTCTTAGCATGTCTACTAATAATGCTCTACTCCATGTACTATCTCTTTATCTGTGAAGACATCTGATAAATTTATGTTGAGTAGATATATGTGCTATACCCTTATAAAACATTAGAAGCAAGTCAATAGAATAGATTAACAACTACATACTATAGTGTTCTTGCCTATCTTTTGATTCTATAGGGAGATGAAAGGATTTCCTCTTTGTCAAATATTAACCAAATGATACCTGTCAAGGTGTTAGTGGTCTACTCTTGGATGGATAAAGCACTAGAGGCCCCTACTAAAAGAGCTAGTTCATAGTAGAATCAATCTTTTCACACTTAAACACACACACTTAAACACACACACACACTTGACTCAATAAGTAACAAACTATTCTTCCAAAAAGCCTTGACTGTCCCTTGTTGATAGATAGACAAGAGAGATAATGAACACCTATAATAAGGAATACCGTCTATTTGCTTCCTATTGAGAAAAGACTTTATCCATTGTTACATGACACTAGATACCAACCTATTGAACTATTATCTATTAAAAAACAAAAAACTTGACTGAAAACAAATTCAACCTTTGGAACAGTGTCTTTGATCTAAACTATTAAAACTCAATAGGTCAAGACAATGATGTTTGAATGAACCATTGAATCAAAAGCAAAACACATTCTAGAAGCCTCCTTAGAGACAAGCGCTGGAAGACAGTCTTAGTACAGTAAATACCTCACAGTAAGAGTTAGTATTTCAAAAGAACTAAAAGG